AAGATAAGTTTTAGACCTGTTTTCAAATGCCCTGTGTTTGTGTGCGGGGTGCAAGTTTGGAATGCATTTGGTGCACGCAAAGCACACACACAGTGAACCGGTTGTTACACCGGTTGAATCCCATCACTGCTTCAAGTGCACTAGAAATAGAAGAGCCGAGGCGGCGCAGTGGTTAAATGCAGCACTGCAGGCTACTTCAACTGACTGCAGTTCGGCTGTTCAAATCTCACCGGCTCAGGGTTGACTCAGCCTTCCATCCTTCCAAGGTGGGTAAAATGAGAACCTGGATTGTTGTTGGGGACAATATGTTGACTCTGTAAACCGCTTAGAGAGGGGCTGAAAGCCCTATGAAGCTGTATATAAGTCTAACTGCTATTGCTATTGCTATTGTTCCTTTCCTCCACCTGGCCCATTTTGCTACTCCTAAAACACGCATCCTCGTTCCAGTGGATCTAATCAACTTGTGTCTTAGTATTGCATGTTGCTGTGTATCTCAATATTGCAGTACTGAAACAGAAGTGGCTCATTTCTCTATTCCTTAAAAAAGACAATGTATAAGTATGTATGAATGCATCTGTAGGTAAAGGTTCCCCTTGCACATATGTGCTAGTCGTTCCCGACTCTAGGGGGCAGTGCTCATTTCCATGCCAAAGAGGCAAAGAGCCAGTGCTGTCCGAAGACGTCTCTGTGGTCATGTGGCCAGCATGACTCAATGCCGAAGGCACACAAACACTGTTACCTTCCCACCAAAGGTGGTTCCTATTTTTCTGCTTGCATTTTTTACGTGATTTCGAACTGCTAGGTTGGCAGAAGCTGGGACAAGTAATGGGAGCTCACTCCATTACGCGGCGCTAGGGATTTCAACCGCCAACCTTTCTGATCGACAAGCTTAGTGTCTTAGCCACTGAGTCACATATCTATACATATGTACAATATATGTATAAGGAACATGTATTTTAGAAATAGCGCTATTGAGCAGCTGAGTTCTTTGGAAATTACAGCCAATGAATGTTTGCCACAGTGCGTTATTTCACAGCTTCTTTCAAGTATGTGCCCTTTTAATGATGCGGTCATGTATCAAGGAGAACAGTCATTTTGTTTCTGGCTTGTCTATGCAATGAATGAAAACAGTCTTTAAAAAAAGAGAGAGAAGGAGAGATTGCGTTCTTACTTTCTCAAAAGTTTATTTACCATTAAAGAATATCAGGAATGGCAGTTTAGGATTTTCCTATGTTTTCTTCTCATCTGAATCCCTCTGTATCTTATTTTTCTCCCATCACAACGGAGTTTTGCCATCAGATGGGAAAAAAAACAGATGAGATTCTAAAATAGAAGTCCCCTTTTCCTTCTGCAGAATATCTTTTTGTCCGGTGAAGCAACTCCAGCGTAGCAAGTTCTCTTAAATATATGAGCTGCTGCTTCGGTGACCCTTTACTCTTTTCTTGAAGTCACCAAAGTTTTTGCAATGGGAACGTAAGCGGAATAACCCCCCCTTGCAAACAATCATGTTGGAGAAGCAGTTGCAGAGTAAAGAGGGCGGCGGGGGGGGGGGAGTAAATCCCAATCTTTTAACTTGTAAACCTGTTGTTGGAAAATTAATCTGTAGTTCAGTAAACTTCCGTGGAACTTTGGACTTTGACTCTCTCTACCGTTGCTTTTTTTCCCCGATAGTCAAATTATGCTGCGTGTCCTTATTCACACTTGCTGATCCCGACACCAGAGAAAGATGAAGAACTGGAGAATGCAAACTTTGCAGCTTCTAAGCATCAAAGGCTGGTTTCGGCTAAGGAGACACCCTTGCCTGTTTTGGGGTAAGTTTCTCACCATTTTGGCATCAGCTGTTTTTTTTCTTGTTAGTTATTAAACTGCTTAATTCAGGCGATGAGCAACTGAGCATTTTTACTGTTCATTTTGGGGTGGCATTATGAGAGTAAGCCAGAAGTAAATTGTCACGAGGCAATTTTTCAGAGTATAAGATGCACCTCTATCCCTCCAAAAAGAGAGTGAAAATCTGGGTGCATCTTATAGACGGAGTACAGCATTTTTGGCCTCCCGAAACCCTGTTCCCTTCCCAAAAATGGACGTGCAGAGGGTTTGGGAGTCCTGCAAACTGCTCCTTGGGGCTGGGGAGGGCAAAAATGAGCGAAAAATGGGCCGTTTTTTGCTCATTTTCCCCCCCAACTCCCAGGAGCACTCTACAAGCCTCCCACAAAAAACAAGGTGTGCAGAAGGTTTGGGAGGCTTGCAAAGTGCAAAACCTTTTTAAAAAAAATTTACCTCTTCAAAATCTTGGTGCGTCTTATACTCCAGTGTGTCTTATAGTCTGGAAAATGTGGTACTTGGTCACCAACTTTGTTTGCCTCTGAGAATCCATGGCAAATTGTGCTTCCATTCAGTAATTAGCTGCAGAGCAGGGATGAAATTCAGCAGGTTCTGGAGAACCGGTAGCGGAAATTTTGAGTAGTTCAGAGAACCGGCAAATACCACTTCTGCCTGGCCCCAGAGTGGGGTGGGAATGGAGATTTTGCAATATCCTTCACCCAGGAGTGTGTGTGGGGGGGTGTGAATGGAGATTTTGCAATATCCTTCCCCTGCCATGCCCACCCAGCCATGCCCACAGAACCGTTAATAAAAAAAAATTGAATCTCACCACTGCCGCAGAGTCTCAAATTTCTATGAGATGCCGAAGGGGAGATTCAGAAAGGGTGGGAAATTTAATCCAGCTGTGTTCTTTCTTTTTGTTAGTTGGGCAAATAGAGATGAACTATGGCAAAACATGCTCAATAAGGAACAGAAGTACGCAAGAGATAAACTTTATATGGAAAAGCATCCACTCTTGGAACCTAAAATGCGAGTGATTCTCCTAGATTGGCTGATGGAGGTGAGACATGGTTTTTGTTCATGCAAACATACAAGACTGATTTGATTATCTATTTTCAGCTATTTTCAAGGTCTGTCATTCCCGCCGTATAATTTTATCTGTGGGGTTTGCTACCTTATTTAGTTCCCCTTGGTTTGAAAAGTGCATCTAATCAAACCCTTTAGCTGATCAACCTTTTGAGGTTGTTCATTGATCCACAACATTTCTTATATGAAACTAATCTTTCTTTCTTCCTCCTCCTCCTTCTTTTTCTTCTATAAAAATGGCTGTGTGTCTGCATGTTCCAGCATAATTCTGGAACGCCTTGAACAATTTCAACCAAACTTGATACACAGATGACTTACTCTTTGGAGAGAAAAACTGTGGGGGTAAGACACCCCTAACGCCCCTCGGGTTGTGTGTTCTGTTAAGATACAGCTTGTTGTGCCTTAAAATGGCTTCTACTGTACTGCCGTAAAATGGCTTCTACTGTACAGCGCAGTGGAGTTGCCATGGTAATGCTTTCACAGTACTCCACAAGGGGGTTCCCTCTGGTAAGGGGGAAAATCCAACATTGGAAAATCCAACATTGGTCCAGACATTTTCCCCTTATAAATAAATACCCGGGCAGCACCTGGTTATCAACTAGT